TTGGGATGGCCTTGTTCTAGAAAAGTTTCACATAAAATGATCAGCAAATGATACAAATCAAACACAGGTTGATTGAAGAGTCAGCCTCACCTTATTTTGATTCGTATAACCGGACGCATTGGTAACAGAGGACGCAGTCGAATCAGGTTTTGGTTTTGATCTCTAAGGTAGATCGCATCGAAAAAGTGGATTATAAGATGATAAATATGATGATGAGATCTTGAGAATAGAAGAGAATGAAATCACTGACAGTCTTTCCTTTGAGTTTTGATCCTGATGCGCGGATAACAGAAGAAGCAGTGGAAACGGAGGTCGGTTTCTAAATGATTGTAGCAAAGAAGAGGAAGTAGAATCGATGATTAAGAAGATGATAACTATGATTAGAATTGCTTCAAACCACTCACAGTAGATCCTTTCGGTTTAGCAATACCCGATCTCTGCTGACTGGTGGGCTTGGCCTGAGTGACAGTCTTGACATGTGACCACTGGTGTGGACATTGAGACCGCCAACTACGTCACAATCGGATCTAGAAGTCGAACGAGCTCGTTTGAGGCCACTGGATGATGGTGGTTGGGAAGAGGGATTAAAGAGACCGCGGCGGCTATCCTGGGATGGTTGGATCATCCCTGGATCCAATCGGAGCGGGGTGGAGATCCGAGAAGTTCGACGAGGTTGACTTTGAGTGTCATCGGTGTCGTATCCAGAACACCGACTCATGTTGAAGGAATTGAGTCGAGAAGTGGGACAAACCAAGGGCAATAGCTGAATAGGGGTAATCAATGTGGTAAGGTTGAGAATACGAGTAAGTTCATAGAACTGAAACTAAGCAAATAGTTGGAAAGAAAACGAGTAAGGGGTAAGAAGGAAGGGGGTTGACATAAATCAATAAGAGGATTAAAGGATGTAGAGTAGGATTCATCTGGAGTTGGGACCACTCACGTTAGAATTTGGGGTTACGAAATTCAAAACAATTGGCCATCCGATTCCGATTCCTTGGGGGTTAGTTGTTGGTCTGGTGACATGATGATGCAGCCAATCGGCCACATCGTCATCATCCATAATGTCGATGAGGCTGAGGAGGTGACCTATCGATAAGTTGGGATTGAATCAGATTGGAAAATCTAGCTGACCTATCAGATTGGTTGGGTCAGCTTGAGGATCCATCCGATAACGGATATTACAGGTGACAGTATGTGTAACGTACCTAGTTCGGATAACCAACCTGTCACATGGCTGTTAGCGTATCTACTCCAAAAAAAAATT